GTGGCAGGAGGGTGGCTGGGTTGCTGATCGCCAAAGAAGGCAGCAGGGATAGTGCCCAGGACACTGGAAGCCCAGGGGGGCTGCTAGCTGGTTAAGTGCTGTCCCAGCTCAGAGGTGTCCAACCCAACACTTCCCTGAGCGTGCCAGCCCAGGGCAGGCCAGCCAATTCTTGGGTGGCCACAGGTGTTCTGCCACCTGTAGGACCCTGCTTTCAAGCAGAAGTGGAGAGAGGCCCAATCTTTGCTATTGCAGAGCCTCCCCTCCACCCAACCAGGGAGGCAAGCTGCTGGAAGGCCCTGAGCTGTGGGGGGCTCTAGTCCTTGCCTCCATGGTGGTGGTGCCCCTCCAAAACCACCCAGGTGGGCTGATAGCCGTCTGAATGCTCTGTCCCAGCTTGGAGGCAGCACCCAGCCCAATTCAACTGTTCCCAGAGCCCGCCCACTGGAATCCTGCTGGGTGCTGCTGCCCAGGCAGGGTCAGGGAATGGTTGGATCGGGCCTGGTGCTGCCTCCAAGCTGGGACAGCACCTGGCCCACTAGCAACCGGGTGGTGCCAAGGGGTGCGTCATGGCAGAGAGAAAGACTGAGGCCCTCCTGCAGCTCAGGGGCCACTTGGCCTGCCAAAAGCTTGCCTTCCGGCCACAGGCAGGCTCCAGCTCCAAAAAAAACCCAAATAGAAAAGGATCAGGCCCCTTGCCATAACGTGATGGAAAAATTGAAACAGTTTAGTCCTCAGGGCTTTATTCTATGCCACACCATTTCAATTTAGGGGGCATAGAATGAAACCTTGGCGGTTAAACACCTGTCACATCTACAAGCACCCTTAACTTACACTCCATTTTATTTTGTCTCACCTGGCTTTTGACTCAGGAGCTTCTTGCTATCCTCCTTTCACCAGCTGAGTCAAGCTATGCTGCTGTTGTTGTTGCAAACACCTCTCCATAACATCCTTGGTAACAATGACTGTTTATCCTACAGACATTGTCAGTGCCATGATAGAAACTCTTCTTCTGTGTTCTTCCAGAACAGCAGTTGTTTTAAATATTCTTTTTCACCATTATGTATAAAATAAGTGACGAGTGATCCAACCTACAGAGTTGGAAATTAACATACAAACTCTTCAGTGAAAAGCCAGGATCAGACTGGTTTGTTCTTTGTCTAATTCACAATTATCCAGCTATGGCTCTTGGATAAAAAAAAAACAGAGAAAAAAGGGAGATACCTTCAGTGACAACAATAAAAAATACCTGGTGGTGGAATGATGGGGTTAGCTGCAAGTGGATAAGTTTATGCATATTTTTATTCTGATACAAGTGAAAAGATCATAAGAAAATAGTTTGAAGTTCTATATATATTTAAGAAGTCCAGTTAGGAAACTATTCAAAAGCTGTTAACTGCTCCTTTGATTGAAAAGGGATGCCTGTTTCCTGCAACACAGGGTGAAGGTGTAGATGGTCCTATCTATTTTACTTTATGCTCTTAACATGCCTTGTACATTTTTGCACTGTATAAATTATGTATTATGTTAATAGCATGACATGATTAATAGAATGTAGGCTGGAAGGGACCTTGGAAGATCATTGGGTCCAGCCCCCCTGCACCAAGCAGAAAAGATAACTGCGGTCAGGTGACCCCAGCAATGTGAACATCCAGTCTCCTCTTGAAGATTTCCAGGGTAGGTGACTACACCATCTCTGGAGAGAGCTTATTCCACAGTCAGGACATCCTAGCTGTGAAGAAGTTTTTCCTAATGTTATGCCTGAAATGGTCTTCCAGGAGTTTGTGACTGTTGTTCCTGGTTTTCCCCCAGGATGCCCTGGTGAACAGTCATTCACTGAGCCCTTGATGTATGCCTCTGATGTAGCGGTAAGCTGCTACCAAGTCCCCTTTCAGACTTCTCTTCTTCAGGCTGAAGAGTCCCAGGTCCTTCAGCCTTACCTCATATGGCTTGCCATGCAAGTCTCTGATCATATGGGTGGCCCTTCTCTGGACTCTTTCGAGCTTTTCCACATCCTTGTTGAAGTGCGGCGCCCAGAACTGGACACAGTACTCCAGCTGTGGTCTCACCGATGCCGAGCAGAGCAGAAGAATCACTTCCTTGGTGTTGCTGGAGATGCATTGATTGATGCACACCAGACCATTATTAAATCCAAGGACATTTAATCAGAAAATCAGAACCACCTTAATGGTATGCCTTTAAAGGAAAATCCCAGACCAAATGGCTAGTAGCTATATAATGATATTCATTTCAGTTGAATGTAAACAGAATCAACACTGATATAGAAAAACCAGGATCTGTGTCACCCAACAGAAATTTTGCACGGGTATCAAGTTAGGAAAAAAAGGAGATGGGGGGAAGGACTCTTATTAGGATTTAAAGTTTGCTTTCCATTTTATATATCATTACAAACTCATTAATGATTAGGCCCCATTCCTGTTCTCTATCTTAAATCTATAAACTCTGAAAGAAACCATACATAAACAAGGCAAAACTTCCAGTGTGTTATCCTGCTTTCTTTTATAAAAAGACTGGACTCCTATTTAAAATTCTTAGCCTACTTAAGCTCACCTCAACCTGATAAGTCAGGTATCGGTGATCCTCTAACATGGGACCTGGGAAAACTCTGACAATATTTTATTTAAATAAATCTATGTAATTGTTTGACTCAATGTGGCTTTCTGGTGAAAGAAACACAGGAGTAAAATACAAGTTAAGTTAATTTGCAAACATATGCTCCATCACAGGCCCTTACCATTCCTGCTACCTGCTTTTGGACATCTTACTTTATCTCTGTGTATGTTAGATGTCTCCATCTGCACAAAAGAAGTAACTCACCTACCCAACTGGCATGTCAGAAACCTTGTGCTATTAATTCAAGAAACACTGGGCACGTCTACATGAGATGCCATATTATGCAGCAGCCTATTCTATTGCTTATTAGCACAACACAGCAAAAACCGTGCTAATGTGCAATAGAATTTGTCTATTGCACATTAAGTATCACAACAAAATTCACCTTTGCTACTGTGCATTAGCATGGCCTAACATGCCTGTATGTAGTACTGCATATTAGAGGTACTAAACTTAATGCGCAGTCGCAAAGGTGCATTAATGAACATGTCGACATGCCCATTTACACAACTGGATGAAAGATAAACTGTATTTCAGTCCCATGATTACCGGGAAGGGACCTTACATCAAAAATAAGCCTGGATCTGTTAAAACAGTGGTGCTCAAACTTTGGCCAGCAAAACCATGTCATCTGGCCTGTGGGTCTCTCCACGGATCTGGAAAATTGGTGGTGAGGGAGCAGTGGCAGTGTTAATCATTGTTCTCCTGCTACCAATTTCCTTGATTCCTGGGGAGCCCCACATGCCAGAAGATGTGGTCTTGTGCACTAGATTGTGCAGATGCATAGGGCTGGGCCTATGCACTGGACTCGGACTGCACCCACGGACTGATTCTGCACATCAACCCCGTTTCATTAGGCCCACGGACCAACCATCTGGCTCACCGACCGGCTCCGTGTCACTCATGTGGCCCATGGAAATGTTGAGCCTCAATATGGACTCTTGCAGGGTGACTCATTGATATCAACAAGTACAGGCAACCCCTGCTTAACGCTGTTTCGCTTCATGATATTTTGCTATAATGCTCGTTTTAAATTGACACCTGATTTCACTTAGCACTCAGTGAGTTTCGTTATAATGCTGGCGGTCGCCATCTTGAGTCATTAAAAACACTTGTGGATACCATTTTGGATTATCAAATAGTTTCGGTTTTGCTTAACTCTCAGTTTTGCAGGAACCAATTAAGAGGGGTTGCCTCTACTACTGAATGGGGAATAGCACTTGCCCAGTGCCTATAGATACCACCTATGCTGCACTTCAGAGACTTGCTCCTCCGTGAAGTAAACGGCCACGTTTGCTGCTTTGCAAAACCCCATTTTTGGTCCAAGGAGCAACCA